GATGATCATCATTCTGATTCCAACTAACTGATGTCCAAGTATGTTCACCACTCGCGGGCTCCAAAACCTTGTACTCACCTAAACCAATATCACTGGTCTCGGGAGTGCCATAGAGTCTGATCTCGTTGTCAACAATAGCCCAAATATACATCGGGGCATAGCTATCGTGTTTGTAATCAGTAGAAGCAGCAGCGATTGAGTCGGCCTTAGCATTGATCATCACCTCCCCCGTAGGAACACCATTGAGGGTAGTAGTAGTCCGAAATACCGAGTAATCACCAGTGCTCAGATTTTGAGCAGATATGAGGAAATCCCAATAACCTTTCATCGTCATATCATAGTCAACCATCTTAATACCACCACTTGGTAGGAAATCACACGAGATGAGATTATCGTAACAGTCCTCTTCAACAAAGACATTATGGTCTTCCTCACACCATCCACTAGGGACTCCAGAGGCCATTATAGCGGCGACGGTACTCACAAGAATAGCGAATCCAAACATAAAGGGATAATAACAAGCAACTACCAACGACGATGAATAAAGTCGGAAAATGCTACTAATAATAAACTACCACTACATGTTTGGGAAACTATTCATGTTCTACTGCCATTCTCTAGCGTAAGCTTACAGCTTCTAGGGCTATTGAGATAGGCTTATAGGAGACGATTCACACAAGGGAGTATCAGATATATTTGGTAGCAGCAGAAGGGCGGATCGCAGAACCACTCAAGAAAAAGAGGGCACGACCTGGCATGAGCACTCATCCTCTTACTGGGTGTTGTTGTATATCCAAACGCTCCCCGAAATGAATGAGCCGTCATCAAGAGTCTGTTAAACATCTTCGATATCTTCATCAAGAGTCTGGGGTAGAGTGATATCCTCTACCAGTGGGCATATACTATGATGGTAGCGCTAGCAGCAATTGTGTATGTAATTCTGTAGTTGGGAGTCAATCCAGGCAGTTGTTAAGGACGTCGCTGTTTCGGTGATATTGGAGCCGCTACGGACGAATGGTATCCACAGCATAATCGTATGGTTCTGTAAGATCGAGGTACAGAGCAGCACTAGGGATGCAATACTGCTTGGTATAATACCGTATACGGTATTACCGTCATATACCGTAATACGACCCATGACCGTATTCCCCCACAAGCCTACTGTGGCCATGTTGCCCCAGCCTTCTGTGCTCAACAACTCCTGAAGTGCTCCTGCGGGTCCATTATCCGAGCGAGAGCTGCGATAATCCATGTTATTGTCACCCCTGAATAAGCTAGGATTCTCATCCATCAGCCTCTGTCATCATTACAGCATACACGCCAACTCTACAAGAGAAGAAGTAGCGCTTCCCCGCTGAATATTCAACAGCATTATCGCCTATCTCGGCTACGCCGCTGTCATCCACTTCCGTTCAGTGTCGGAAAGCTGATCCACATCTTCAAGCCATCTTATTCTTAGAACCATAGTCGTCATACCTTTACAGAAGGTACGAGAAGGTAACAGAAGTCCTCTTAACCCGAGAATGGCCTTCCAACTCACGTCGATCGACTATGGATCTCGTGTCA